AAAACAAAATTAATTCGTACCTTAAATTAATTAAGTATTACCTAAATATACAACTATGTACTTTCTTACTAACAGTGTAGAACTAATTAATTACTATTATTATATATATATATATATATATATATATATTATTTTTTTTTTTTCTCTAGTACAATTATCCATGTTTTATATATATATAAACTTTTTTATTACAGTTAAGTTATGCAAAAGTAGTTAATTGTTCACAATTAATTTATAATTACATTTGTGCTTCAAATATTTTATTTCTAACTTCAACAACCACACTTTATTATTACAAGTAGTGTAATAAAATTTACATAAAATTTAATTCATGTTAACATATTCTTCTTTTCCTTTTCTGTTAATCATATTTCCTAAGAAAAACATTCTACTTAAGATATTTAGAAAAATTCATGTTATTAAAACTTTTATTTGAATTCAATCATACAGATCCTTATAATGACACTGTTTTCTTGGAGTTTGTGTAATATGTTATATACATACAAATATGACCTCCTAGAATTAAATACTAATAAAAATATACTGAAACTAGCTTAAATTCAAAAGCTAAATTTTACAAATTTGAACAAAGTAGAGAAACTTTAGGGTTGAAATTTGTAAAGGACTGCTCTTTTCTCTTCTTTGAGGGAGATGAAATTTTGATCTTTGTGCTGAAACTAAAAAAAAAAAATAAAAGTCTCATCACACAAACCAACATTCCACACTCAAGAAACAAGGCAGATACAATCCATTATGAATTTCAACACTACAACATATACATTGTCAAAAATGCTAGTGCTTGATTCTCATCAAATATTTAGTTAGAATTATTTATTAGTACCTATAATAACAAGTGCTGTTAGAAAAGTGGGTCAGTACTCAAGCACTTTAAGACATTGCATCTGGGAAAATAAAAGAAAAAAAATCGATGTGTTACTGAAGACAGCATAAATTAACAAAAATCACATTACTAAATTTTGAAAAGAAAGTAAAATATTTTAATATATCTAGTTGTCATTACATTTTTAAACTCCTGTCAGTGTTCATAGAATGTACTTGTCTGTTTTGCACATAAATTATTTAAAACAGACATTATTTTAGAAAGTTTTTAATAGCCTTCAAATAACTGTAAAAAATAGTGTTGAACTAGTTGGAAAGGCCCTAGTAAATAATTTACTTTTGTATAATACTTTTTCGTGGATAATGCAATTTATTAATCTTAAGAATATGACTTTAGTATGTTATATTTATTTAATTATCAAAATATGGTTTTTGTGTAATTTGACTGAAAAGCAATAGTTGTTGCCATTTATAAGTTAAAAAACAAGCAGTGATTGTTTCATTTTCTGTAACCTTTTTTTTTTGATGAGACAAGAGCAACTTTGGAGGTGCCAGGCCCCCTAGCTATGGGCATGTGTCTAAAAGAATCTGATGGTATTTTTTCAGATATTTTTTTAAACAGTAGTATTTAAGAGTACTATTTAAAACTCTTAAGAATTAGTAATATTTGAGATTTTGTTTCTCTGAATCTGAAAGGTTTACATTTATTTAGTCTTTAATTGTGTTATAAAACAAATATTTTTATGGAATCCAATTTAGAGAATTGAAAAGTTTTGTTGGGTCTAGTGTTCCCTGTGAGCTGCTCAGCCTCACAACAACCATTATTCTAGCCATGCACATCCTCAGTAATGATGAGGAGTCTCAACACGTTAACGCATTAATGACCCTTGCAGTCGATTAGCCTAAAGCCCAAATAACCAACTTGTAGCATTGCAAAGCAAACTAATGATTCAATAGGGTCTATCGTCTAAAAATACCCCCCCCCAAAAAAAAACTGGTAGCGAATACTACCTTGATACTGGTGCACATGAAAAAATTCATTCCACACATGGATTAAAAAATTAGAGGGAACATTGGTTGGGTCTCATTATTTATTTATTTCTCCCCTTCAATGAAAAACTCTAGTTAAAGCCTTTCAAACAGCATTATTTATTTACATTAATACAGTTAAAAAAAAGCCCTGATAAGCTTTTGGATAAGGTATTAAATAAATGGCTTTGTAGATTGGAGACAAAGCATAACTCTGAAAAGTAAATATCAATTTAAGGATGAGGAAAATATATGAACAATAAAAAGCAGTTGGCTTGGTACAAACCACAAAAATGGAACAACTATATGTGGTGTAGCAAGTTGAAATCTCTTGATTCAACCATCAAATGGATAACACTGATGAACATACATATCCATGAAACCAGATTCTTAACATACAAGAAAATAACAGACTATACAGACCATCTACAGATCCCTCGTTTTTAACAAGCCATGAACTAACCCAACTTAATTTATTTTTGTGTCAATTTATATACTCAAGAAAAATTTTAATAATTCTCAAGCCAAATCATTTAGTAAATTAATAAACAATTTTAAAAGTATACTAAAAGATAAACATTTCTGTCAAAAATTAGAATATTCCTGAATTTTTGCTTACAATGTTTAGTATTATCTCTAATACTCAAATCACAATTATTGACTTCATCAGTTGAGAAGTCATAAAGATTTCGTATAGTTTGTTGTCTCTCTAAGCTTCTTAATGTTAAACATATGCAAAAAATTACCATGAAGACAAGAGTAACTGTTCCTAAAGCTCAAATGTTTGAAAAGGGTATTTTCTCTGCAGCTTCTTGCAGTGATATTCCTTCCCATAGCCATAGACAATCTTATCTATTGGGCAAACTGGGCATTTGCCCGGGTGGGCCCACACATGTGCTATGCCAAAACTCAGTAATCAAACTTTAAATGTAGAACATATGATCTGAAATTAAAAACAAATTAATTTATACACTAATTGTATACATATTGGAAGAAATCATAGTGAAAACACATACTACATTCACAGAAGTAGATTAAAAACTGAATTCTGCCTTGGCTTCAGAATGACTAAGACCACCCCTGCCCATAGCAAAAGACAAAAAGTGTATTTAGTTCTCTGAATAAAACCTAATAGTCTTATATAACATAACCTGACAGTAAAAACTTGAATGTAAAAGTTACATTACATGAAGTATATTACAGAATCTGTTAATCTCTAATCACCACACTCAGACACTCTATAAAAAGGGATTAACCTTTTTTTTCAACAAAATCACCCATATTCATGTCTACAATTCAAAAACTCACCTCACATAATGCATTACTCTACAACTCAAAACTTCAACTTTTAAAAATGCTTTGACTACTCACTAAATTTATCAAGATCATTCTGAATCAAAACATCTATCTCATTGTCAGCTTAGCCCATAATTGTAGTGAATAAAACACCATCAAATATCCACATCTTTCATGGAATATTCGTTTATTCAAGAAGAAATCATGTAAATTGAGTATTGAAGAAATCATCTATTACGGTTTATCCTTATATTATGTTGAATGATGATGCAAAATGTAGTTATTTCAATTTTTTTTCAACACTTATTACACACAACTCTTTTGACATAGATAGTAAAGTGAAGAGAGAAGCATAACTTATCCAAGTAAGTTGTCCACTTATTTGACCCTGTAAATGAAAATAAAAGTAAAATAAAAAGTAATCAGCTAACTTGAGATGGCAACACAACTTGATGACTTCAAGACTGCTATTCTGGATGAAGTTTACAAAAGTAATAAACATTAAGGGAAATACAAAAATCATAAAATCAGTTGTGTGTGTATAAAAATATATATTAAAATTTACAATTCTAAGAGGCCTATAAACATAAAATGCTGACAGACTAACTAGTGATCTTCACAGAACTCCATAAAAATTAAGTACTTTTACTCGTGAAGAAATATTAATTTTTTTAAATAATCAGATTTTATTTTTTTAACAAAATATAGTTTTCACCTGACTTAAATTTGAAACTATAAATAGTGAAAAATCAACACACACACACATATATATAGCAAAAAAGAAAATGATGAAGTAGTCATTCTCAACCTCAAGTAAAGAGCTTTCGTTAAAAAAAATCATCTGACTTATTAAATAAACAAAATATTTGTTTTCAAAGTCTATTCATGATTCTTTCTCACATAACAATGATAAAATTTTGGGTTGCATCCAATCAGGGGTAAAATTCTCAAAAAAAGTTGAGGTACTCAGCTAGGTGATGTAGACTATTTTTGGAAAAGTAAAAATATCTATGTATAAACACAAAAAAGGACAAAGCAGCTCAAATAAGTCCAAGTACTGGTACCACCTTAAAAAATAAGTTCCAGTACTCAGTACAAGCAGAATTTTACCCCTAAATCTGATGTGCATGTAAACATTAAACAAAATCATGATATGCTGTATTGTGCAACTTAATATAAAAATTATATTGTTTAACTTGCATTGTTAAAATTTGTATTGAGTGTTTTAACAAATCTAGACAAAAGTTGCTCATTCCATTATGGGCTGGATGGAATCCACCAAGCTCATAACCACAAAAGTATCTAATGAGAGTAACTATACTATGATTTTTGATAATGTATGAATATTTTTACAAAATTTTACAGATTATTGGTAAACATTACAAGACCTTTCATATACAAAATATCACATTTTAAAATTAAGTATTAAGATTTTTTAATTAATTTTCTCGTAAATTTTTTTCTTTCAGAATGTTGACTATCCAACATGCAAAGTAATTTTAAATTTTAAGATTAAAAATACTTTTATGCATCAGAAAATTGTCAAATTTCACATGTGAAACCTCAATAACCTTCAGATAATAATCAAATGCTTTTTTTATAAAAAAAACTTCATATTTTATCTGTTATTACCACTATTGTATCTCTGTGTAGGTTTGGTCGATTTGACCAACCTTGTAACCACCATAAAAAATTAGGAAATAGATATAAATTACTCTTTTTTTCATTCTACAAATTATAAAACGAAACCACAAATGTTTAGACTGAATAGCTTAAATCTCATAACATAATACATATATATATATATATTTATCATTTTTATTTTATTGACCTTTCAGCCGTGCCTGACTAACATTACAGAAGTTGCAATGACACATCACACGTTGCACTCATGTTACCATATCCAAGAATATAAAACTGGCCTTTACAAAGTGACCTGTCTTGGCTGTGTTCTAATGGACCAGAATTTTATAGAATACAATCATATTTTGGTTATGATACATTATATAAGTATATACATTATTACTATTTATAAATAAGTTCTTAAATTTCAATTATTTTTCTTAAAACATAGACCTGTAAATAAAGAAGTATAGAAAACAATTATATCTTCTAGTTATGAGTCTTGTACATGTTGCTTCTTGCTGTAAATTACTAAGCCTTATCAAATTTTGCACATTGAGAATGTAAAACCAAATAATTTTTTTATGGTTTATGCATGCATTTTGAAATAA